GCGATAAATATATGGGTGGATATTTGTTACTCTTTCACGCAAAAACTACAGAATAGATTTCAATGAAATTTGGTACACGGGTTAGGTTATATTCTAATATGGCATATAGGTACTTTATGATTCACGTGTGTGAAGCCGCGGGATACAGCTAGTATTGAATAATCTATTAATAGACAACGAGCTGGTAAGTCACGTTGGAACTAAGAATCCTCTATTAAGTACGTGAGTGCGTTCTGCTATATCTATGCGTAGAATAATACGTTTTATCCACAAAGTATAATGTGCAAATAAAGCCATTTTGTATGATACCTGACTTGGACTAGTAGATCCAGTTTGGTATTTTGAAAGCCTCTTTTGTTCTCCCTAGTAAAGATTCTTTTTTTCAATTATTACTATTGTAATATCTCATTATTATCGTATTTGTTGTTAACTGTCCACTGTTGAACATAGGTCTCTTCCATAAGTTTTGTCAGTTATTGCCAAACTTGGCAGGCAAATTATCAAATGCAGTTAAGCTTTGGTAATGTTTGAAGATGGACGCTGCTACCCATCGCTCGACTATTAAGTTCCTACAGTCACCTCTTACGACACCCATGGGAAAGGAAGAGATGGTCAATTCTATGTTGGGATTACATGACAATATATAGTAATATATATGGGCCATTAAATATAAAAATTTTGAATAGTTTCGAATATAGAAGTCTTCCAAATCTCAAATTATTAGCAGTAGTAGTTAGTAAGATATTTTGCTGAGCATTGAGCGATGAACTAAGTCCTAAGATATAAGCTAAGACTTCTTCAGCATATAGCATCAAATTATAAATCCACGTCAGGCTACCTACCATATGGTAGGCTCCTTTTTAACCGTTTTTAAAAAAGATAGTAGTCCTCAATTTTGTTGTAATTTTTTTTATATTTCTTCTCATAATTCGGTCATTTATTTAATATTTTGGTAAATAATAAATACGTTAATGAAAACTTAACTAGAGTTTGGAGCTATGTTGTCAAACTTCATTTGACCAGTTTTGTCTTTTTATGTCTTCCATTGTGACTCATACAGAAAGAAGCCAATTTAATTATTTCTTGTATAGTCTTTCTTATGTTTATTTGTGATTAAATTTATCGTGACTTTCATAGCCTATGAATATACTATATAGCTAGCCTATATATATGACATAGCCTATATATATATGATAGCCTATATAATATGACAATTATGTTAAAGTAATATTTTCATTAAAAAAGAATTAACACTATCGAAATATAATACCGAAAGTCTTTTTCTCTAAGTCCATATCAAGTCGTAACAATTGTTGGAAATGTTAAAACACAGTGAGTTCTTTAATTTCTCGTTATATATGTATATAGATATCGGATTGAAAATGAACATAAGTTTTGAAAATAGTATTACTATTCATAGTATTATTATTCGTAGTATTACTATTGGTAATATTTTTTTGATTGGTGAAAACGGTATGGTAACCCCGCCTGCGCTAACGGGATACGCTGGTGGAGCACCAGTGAAGGATGATAGATGAATGATGAATTCATCAGGAATTAACCATGATAGTTTCCAGAGAGAACCGCGAGGAGGTCGACCTGGTTGGGTATATTGCTAGCAATGTGATTCTCAGTCTCCATTACTAACAATCCCTTTCCCCCCTATTGGTACTATTTTTTTTTTGGTGGATGAAAATAGAATGGTAACTCCGCCTGCGTTAACGGGATACGCTGACGGAGAACCAGTGAAGGATGATTGATGAGAATGAAAACAGACCAGTTAGCCCATCATGATGAATTCATCAGGAATTAACCATGATAGTTTCCAGTGGGAACCACGAAGAGGTCGACCTGATTGGGTATATTGCTAGCAATGGGATTTTTATCTCCATTACTAACAGTCCCTTTCCCCCCCGTATTGGTAGTATTACTATCAGTAGTATAGACATAACCTCATGTAGTATTATTATTACACTCTTATCAGTGTAATCAAATAACGGTGTATCTACACCGTTTTATTTAGTACAAGTTTAAACCTCGCTTACTTTGATTTTTGTAAATACGCAATAATTATTTAAATCGAGAAAATTATTTTCTTATTTGAATAATATTTTCATGACAATTTGCAATTAACAAATTGCCAAGTGCTAATAAGAAATTATCGTTTAACTCCTAAAGTCCTAGTACCTATTTTAGTAAATATAATTTAATTGTAATAATTAATGGTTGTTGTTCTTAAAGAAATTGAATAAGAATTTTCCGGGTTTCTAAATTAAAGTAATTGACCTATTACCTAGATCTAAGCTGGAGAGAGACAGATAAAAATATGTGAATTTATTTTCTTTTGCGTTAATATTTTATCTTTAGATTTGATCTTATCCTACTCTGTATTCTGTTCATTATTTATTCATTTTTTTATTTAATTCTTTTTTTATTATAACACGACATGTGATCATACCTGCCTGAGCGAACACAGAGACGACGTGGTCCATTATTACGATCAACTGAAAACCGAAAAGAGAACGTTCTACTTTGAACGGTTGACCGCACTATGCCGTCTCACTATGTGCTTTCACACGCTATGTTTGAAGGATCCAAGGTTATATCACAGAACAGCTCTTTTCGTATTGATAAGGTACAGTCCATGTAAGATTAATTGTGTCCATATAGTTCTACAATTTAGTTCTACTAGTAGAACCGAACGGACTAAAAAACCTGTTTTGTTTATCTCTACTAATAGAACAAAATGGACTAAAAAATCTTGTTCTATTAGTATTATAAAGAATGGAGAGTGAAATTATATTAATTAACATCCGAATTGTTCAATTATTTACTTCTAATTTAGAAATAAATACGTTTAACATAAATATTATTTTGGAAATTGATATATGAGTTAGTTGAAATATTTAAAAATCCTTTATCTCCATCTATCCATTTTCTCACCAAGAATCACTTATTGAAAACTGAGTATCAAAAACACTTCATTTCACTTGTTTTCTTAGCTCCAGCCGGACCACGTATGTATGCCTTTATCACAATTTTTTTCGGAATATATATTATATCCACGTTTTATTTAAAATGGACAGGAAAAAAAAAAAAATTAATAAGCAAAAATATTACATCAAAAGCACTCATCGGCTTATTGAAAATGCTGGCCACTATGATCAATTTCATTTGAGATACGTGGACACGTTTTTATTATTACTCACATGGATTTGTGTAAAAATAATTTAATCCGCTTATATACCGATTTCAACTTAAGCTCACTCGTTGAAAGCGATTTTTTTTTTTTTAATTTCAAAGACCCTTTTAGCAAAACAAGCATACCGCTTTTATTACGTACATCGGATTCTCTTAGATATGTAAGAAAATTTTACTTTTCATTTATTAAATTAGTTGATAGTAGGATAAATCTTTTTACGGCTTTCATTATTCTGAATGGAATTAAAAGTGGCGATTTCAGCTTTGGCCAGATCTTGAATTTCGTTCTACCTATTTGATTTTTTTGTTTAGTAATGCGAAACGAACCTTATTTTTATAAGCGTATAAAATAGAATCTATCCACTGACTGAACTTGAGATAATAAAGGTTTTATTCTAGATAGAAATCTGAGTACAGTAATAAGCGTATCAGAATTTATTAGAGCTTGGAGTATTCAATGGCAGAAGAATAAACAAGTTCAAGATTTGTTATTTACGATCCATTATTGTGATATTTGCTAATAATTTATTTATTAGTTGTTGTTGTTGTTGCAAAATCTTTAATGTACATAATTTATTTTTTTTTTATTTATTAAACTTTAATACACATAGACAGTGTAAATGACGGATTTAACACCATATGACTTTTACCAGTTAAACGTAGACAAGAATAACAGAAAATGTAATTAACGGTGCAAAGTAATGAGCAAATAAATAGAAAAACAAAACCAATATTAAAATAAAACAGTAATTAAATAAATAATTAATAATGTACTTTTTTTAAATATTCAATAGAATATTGGAATTTATTGTAAATGTTTAATTTAAATTCAACTCATATTAAATCACAATTAAAGAAAAATGCAATAACAAAAACATATAAAGTTTTTTCGAATAGTAGTCTAATATTTGAATCGTAACAAACAAGCGTCCATTTAATGATAATTGTTTGATATTACACTCTGTTTCAACAGACATTCATAATAACCAAACGAATAATTAGCCATAAGTTAGTTAGTTGATATCCGATAGCATTACAAATCAAAAACAGATTAGTTGATTGAACGTTTTGGGTTGCTACTAATATCATTTAGAGATTTGTTTGTGATAATTACAACAGAACATGATTATTTTTTATTAAATTCTATTGAAAGAGATTACTATATTACTTCAGAAGTAATATAGTAATCTATTTCAGATTATGTAGGATTCTGAATGCTCACAGCGATCAAATTGACATCAATTTTGGACCCATCAACAGCAGATATAACTTATTGAGGAAAATCTTAGACATAAGTTCTTAATCTACTTATTATTCAGATATTGTTATTGTCATTATTAATAATTATTAAATATTATAATAGTGCATGTGGTGTTCGCCAGTAAAAGACTTTTACATTAGGCAAAATTATTTTTTGTATTATTGATTAAGTAGCATGTAAAATGTAAAGAAGTATTATGATATCCTAGTGGCATGAAGATCTTGTGTTGAAATACTCAGTAATTTCAGCCATATTTCACCACTTAAGCAGGAATATAAATGGTAAAGAGACGGGTATGGACAGCAGCGTCTCTCTTAAAACATCACCAAAGGCCTAACTGCAGTTACTAACCTACCTGCCAAGCATGGCAACTACTGGCAAAACCTCCGTTAGGCTATATTTAGCAGTGGATTTTTAACGTCTGATATAACAAGCAAGAATGTAGTAAGCAATCAAGCTGCTGAATGTAACAATATACTTTTGTAGTTTCATTCTTCTAGTTCATTCTATCATTCAAACATCACTAGACTATAAATACCCATTTGAGGCGCACCGAGCCAGTTCGCTGCCCATCCAGCGCCGAGGCCTTTCCTCTGCCGTGCCAGCAGTTGAACGGTCAATGCGTAGGTGAGAAGCATGACGACCAGCGGTATGTAGAAGCAAATGATGGATCCGATGGCCTTGTATAGTGGATCAGGGATCTGGCAGGAGCCCTCGATGAGGACTGTATCGGCATTCTGTGAAAGAAGAGTTCTGGTTAACATGTTATATTGATTTAATCTGAATTTGATAAAAAAAAAAACACAGTAAACCTTTGATTTTAAGACTCTGTTAAACAAAACTACTTCGATTGTGGCAAAAACAATTATTTTATTTTAAAATTCAAAGTATTTTAAAAGAGCTTTGATAAAATTTCTATGGAGCCAATCCTATAAGTTTATATACTTTCAGATAAACAAAGAAATAATTTTCTTTATATGTTTATAACTTTTATTAGTAACTTATGTGTAATTTTGGTCAAAAAAACTCGACTGTACGATTAATAACTGACGAAATTTTGAGGTAGCAAACATAAAAAAATATTACCGAATTGAAAACTGCTTTCTCTTTTGATAAGTCGGTTTAAAATTGCCTAAAACAGTGAAACCGGTCAAGGGGGTTAAAACGTGCACATTGTATGAAACATAATAGGATTTGCTTTGGATAACCTGCCGAGTTTAATAGGTATCTTGCGATGAGGGCGTAACATTAACGGACTAGTACATTTACATTAGCGGATTATACAAAGTACACGGAAATCCTATTATGATTCGTATAATAACTTTTTAACCCCACAGTTATCTATTTATTGCAACAATTTTATTGTAGAAGTGTACAAGTACTTTACTAATAATAACAAAACGTTAACCAAAATAGGTTCTAGTTAACATTTTGTAAATTTACCATATTATTTAGTTGTGTAGATAGAAGCCATATTTATTTTTCATTATTATCATATCAGCCATTAACTGTCCACTGCCACAGATAACATAAGTCTCCCCTTTGGAGGATTTTGCCTGTAGATACCACGTTTGGCAGACGAATTAGCCGCAGTTAGGCTTTGGCGATATTTTAAGAGGAACACTGCTGTCCACTCTCGAGCATTATGTTTCCTTAGTCGCCTTTTACGACACCCACAGAAAAGGAAGGGTTGAAGAATGTAATTGGCTATATGGTGAACATATCGCTTATTATAGACTAAAAAGAAATAGGTATATGTGAATTAAGAACGTTTTCTTTTGAAATCGCTCAACAAGAAATTTGGTACTAATCCTGGTTACATTTTCTAAAGATGTTTAGATGTCTCAATTCATGCTTAATCGGCTGAAAGATTTGAATAAAGTTTAATAGACAAATTTTACTTTTAAGAAAAAAGTCTACGAATATCTTTTGAAGAAGCTGTGAAAGCAGTTAGTCGCTTCATCATCATTTTAACCTTTGATCCCTATCGTTGATTATTGGTATTATAGTATGTAATCGTGTATGTATGTATATTTATATTAGTATAATCTAATATAATATATAAATGTAAGGGGGAAAGGGATTGTTAGACAGCCCCATTGCTAGCAATATGCCTTATTAAGTCGATCTCCACTTGGCTCCCCCTAGAAACCATCGTGAACAATTCTTGTTGAATTCGTCACGATGGGCTAACTGACCTGCTTCATCCTCACTCTATACCTATCATCCTTCACTGGTGACCCGCCGGTGTATACCGATAGCGCGGGTACTTACCATACCATTCCATTATCATTCATTATATCTGTGCCTCTAGTGAGAAAGGGTCTAACTCAAGTTATAGCCTTTTTCTTTTTTAGGCTACTTTAAATAAGCAAATTTTTCTCTTTCGAATGGTATAAGAATCGTAACGATATCTTTAAAAACAATAGAGATAGTAAACATGTAAAAGGCTACAATTAACAAAATATTTGTGGTAAAAAAGTCATAATTAGAAATAAAACTACAATATTTTACAAAAATTATTTTTGTAAAATGAATCAGTTCGATTTGAACCCTTTTACACCATTTAATAGCGATTATTTTTTATAGCGTAAAATACACAACATTGTTTTTCTTCAATACTTCAATAAAATAGTTTTAATTCAACTTAAAACTATTTTCACATGATAATTTTAATATTTTTGTTAAGTGTGATTAGGTATAATAGAATTATTTTTAAAACTATAGGTTTTACACAAAAACCAACAATCATAAGAAAGAGGAGAAAAAATTACTATAAATGCAATCATTGACTTGTTCAATTAGCAAATAATAAAAGCAGCAGAATTTTTTTTCTTTATTTAAAATAGTTTTTTGGCTCTCCTGAAAAGTGACCATTTTGAATTGAACCCTTTCTCACTAGAGGCACAGATATATATATATATATATATATATATATATATATATATATATATATATATATATATATATATGTGTGTGTGTGTGTGTATATATATAAATGTAAAATACGTTATTATGATAAATATTTGTTTAATGTAATCTATGTATATTTATAATCATAATGTGCAGTAGTTCTCCATTGTATGTGTTATGTATATGTATTGTTTATCTGCAACAATTTTAAATTTTTCGCCGCATAATTGCATGTCTATTTTGCTAAAAGTTGACTGGGAGAGTATGCTGCAGAATGCATTGAGTCCGCCTTTTTGTAAGAGACTTTTTTGTAATATGATCAATAAAGAATAAATAAAACAAAAATATATCTTGGATTAGAACAGAATAAGGACAAAGCTACGATGTAATGGCACATAAGATTTATCTACTAAATACTTACGAATAATTGCAATGTAAGGGTATTTTTTGCGTGAAAACAGTATAACAACATTAGCATAAAGTGGCTTGGCATTAAGCGAAATTGGATCGCAGGTGCTTGTAGTCAGCACAATTGGGGCAATAACTCAGCAGTTACAAATACCTGACTTGAGGAAATGCGTGTCACAGGGATAGATTGAGATAAAAAACTAAGCGTACCACTACTAAACTCTTTATTTTGATATTACAAAAGTTTATTGATATCGAATCCCCTTCTCTACCAAACCCTTTCTTATACACCATCTGTTATTCTATTTTATTTATATACAACCTCTTTCAGATGTAACGAAGTACGTCTTTTTGCTTTCATCTCGATATTCAGGCGCGAGAGATTTATTTTTTATTTATTTACTTTTTTTGTCAATCTTTTTCAACAAATTTCATATAAGAATCCCGAATATCAATTTAGTTAAAGTTCAGCCTATCAATAATATGTTGATTTACTTTACTTTTGGTGGTCTTCCGGAGGTTCATTGAATTACACGTTCTGCGTGCGAGAAGGCGAATTATTTGTCGGTTGAATGCCCACACTATATTACAGCTACTATGGCTCTACTAATATAGTATATAAGATTTTTTGTTATTAATATTTTTGGGCTGTTATTCTCAGAAAATAAAGATTTATTGATTTCGGAACAAAAACTAACACCTAAAATATTTTCAGTTGCGAAATCTACTCGTATTTAAAATCAATTTATGTGAGCATTGTCAGTTGAGGAGACACTGTTGACGGTTCAATTTAAAACGTTTCTGGACGTGGAATTATTTGGTTTTTTTTTTAGCTCTAGTATTTTTAAGGCGATTTTAAATTCGATTCTACTGTATATATTTCTAAGTAACTTTTCTATTATATTATTTGATATTTTTGTAAAGTCTGAAACGATTTTCATAATGCTTTTTTACAATCGATAGGGTTCACTCTTTTATTGGCCCTATATTAACGTTATCACGACTAAAGTGGCTACATTATTTCCGCAAAAAAATCTGTTTAATATAAGTTTAATTTAGATAAGGTTTTTAAATTTTAATGTTATGAGTATAAAGTTATAGGCGTTATGGTTATCGTTTACCATCAAGTGTCATTAATATACCCATTGGACTTAATTTGTCTGAATATTACGCGATATCTTCAACAATTCTGAACCCACTTTCCAACGGTAGGGTTGTTTGTCATGTAATAATTACATCCCTTATCAATATATTTGGTTTGCTGGAAGAGATCTCTTTCGTAGATAGAATCACCCCTGCTCATAATTTTTATAAATGTCTTATCTTTGTAAATATAAATACAATTTATTATGCAAGTCCTCAGGAATGGCAATGCATGGGGGGTATCATGGGCAAACAGTATACTCTGCTATGTCCATGGTACTGCTCATATCTCTAGGCGACGGTTACCACTTTTCATCAGGTGGGCCGTCAGCTTGTTTTCCATCCATTGGTCCATCTTAATTTCCTATACTCGTAATCATTCTATGCCATATAATCCCGGTATAGAATAGTCATAGAATGTCAAAGTTTTAATTAATATCGTTCATTTACGTATAGTTTGGGTTAAAAATATCTACCTAAGCGGTTTGACACCGATGATAAAAGGTTTTAGCTGTATGAGGCTTATATAAACGGGTTGGAAGCACGTTTTTAGTCTTGAATAGTCGATTATAGCTTTTGTATTAATAATTTAATCATTAACTGCGCCTTTATAACAAACTTCAATAGTGCTTCTATTCATTGTAACTCGTTGTTTACAAGATAAACGATATTGGGTATTGTAATCCGTTTATTGTTTTAGCGATTAGAGAAATTAAAATATTTAATATTCCTTTGTATATATTAGTCTATATTTTTGTTTATATAATGTTCTTGTTTATTTTAGTTCCATAGATTCTCTTAAGATTATATATTTTTTTATTATTATCCATATTTTATTCTTTCATTTATTTATGTGTTAGTAGTTATTTTCGAAATAAAGCTTATTATTCTTTATTTATAATTATATATTTTTATTTTTTATTTATTTATTTATTTTCTCCACAAATCATACAGAATGTTACATAAAAAAAATACAACTATATATGTATGTATAATTAAAGTGGTCTGTAAAACTTGTTATATATATATATATATATATATATATGTATATAATTATAATAAGTAATAATAAATAATATGATAGCAATACATTACATTTTTGCTTTTTTGTTCTTCTATTTGTTCTTATAGTCGTTTCTTATGATATTTTAATGACGAAAAGGGGTGACGATTCGTTGTATTCTTACTCTGTTATACATGGAGATTATCTATGTATTTCAATAAAATAATAAAATCACTTCTCATTTATATTTACTGTATTTATTTATTTTTT